CATGCATGCATGCATGCAAAGATACAGAGCGCTTGCAGTTACTGGTTCTGCGCTTCAGAACAGCCCAACCTCCTTCTCAAAGAAGAAAATGTCTGTGACGACCAGTGTCGCTGGCATAGACGTATTGTACCAACCCCTGATCATGCTCGCCAGACGACCGCACTCTTTGAAGGTGCTCATTTGGTCAAACTGATCACAAGCTTGTGCCAAGGGAAAGCCAGACGGGACTCGCAGCGCCTCTGCCAGAACGAAGACTGCCTCCTCAAATTCCTTTTGCAGATTGGGCAGCGCACCTATTTGCTTTGCTAAGGAAGCAACGTTCGGATGTGCTTCCAGAACGCGATGGATGTGTGAAGTGCCGCATTTTGGAAAACCTCCGACAATCACCAAATTCGACGGCGCTTCCAGGCTCAACGTACATCGGATCAAGAGCACTACTGCCAGAAAGACAGGCTGGCATCGCATGGCCGTGCAGCTGCTTTACACAAAGACCTCAAGCGCTAGTGCTCTGACTACGGTTTAGCCGTAAACGCCAAGCCCTGAGGCACTTAACACATGGGGCTCAGGGTTGAGTTTCTTGGAGATGCAGAAATATGCATCCGATGTGAAACAGCCGGACCTTCCAAAGCATGCCAATGTGATGACATCTGTGGCTTTGAGTTACGGGTCGATTGCAGGAAAGGTTCAGGGTTGAGGGTGGTCAGAATTGAAGCGTTACGTACAGCTTGTGAATGCACGCTGAAAACATACCCCATACATCATTGAGGCTGCCACAGTTTGTTTAGGGGTCTGGAATCCGAGAGCGAGTGACCCCCGTTAGCTCTGGCTTGGCTTCATGGGTTTGCAGGTTGCAAAGGCTGCGGTCCAGCAAGACACCAGCTGGAGAGCACGACAAAGCAGGGGGGGGGGTGCATGCGCTGGACTTCATGCAGAGCAGCATGAGTTCCGCCACTCAATGAAAGTCCCGAACACACGCTCATTGTACCTCCTTGGAGGTCTCGGTTGTAGCAGACCCCATTGAAGACCCGAAATGTTTTGAGGACCTTATAAACGCTAAAGCCTAAACCCGAATTTTCTGCGGCGTACTTTGCGGCGCGTTCTTACGTTGCCACCACGCCACAGACCACTTCTGGCCGCACAGTTCTCGCTTGTAGGAAGGCCATACCTGAGTCGGCCCTATACTGTACTACTGTGCGTAGGGTTTGCGGTTCAATTATGCGATACCACCCTAAACCGTAAACCCCAGCTTTAGAAAGCTAGTGCTGGTTAGGTTTTGAGTTGTACGTTTCATCATACAAGACACGATTGAGCTGCAATGTGGTCCAAAACCGGAACGTAGTTTTGCAGGCTTCCCTCTTAAGCCTTCTTCGTGCACTCGCTTAAAATCCACAGCTAGTACCCGAGTTACCCCTACACCCTCCCAAACGTTGCGACCCTAAGCTGTGAAATCATACATCCCTGAATCCGAACTTCTTAACCCATGAACCCCAAGCCAAACTGTGGCACTCAGAAATACACTTTGCCCGAAACCAAACAATAAAAATCCATGGGCTCAAGGAGGTTCAGGGTTTGGGGTTCAGGGCTCGGCGGTTGGATATCGGTTGTTGCAGGCGCGGGGCTCGCTTTCCAACACTTCCGGCGGGAGCTCCACAAACGTGGCGCTCTCATCAGGCGCTCTCCTCGCCGAAGTAGCACAAACGGAGGGTTCAGGGTCTAGGGTGTAGGGGCCGAAGTGATTCAAACTTGGGGTTCACCGTCTTAGGTGATGTTTGGTTTGGGGCCACCTTTCAAGGTTCGGTGCCTGGATTTCGGATTTACATGCTCTGAGGATCTTGGGATTTGCATTTAATGCTCAAGGCCGGGTATACACAAACTGAACAAACATGCTGCTATAGTTATGCACGCGATCTGCGCCCTAAACCCCTCACACGCAGTCCCAGTCACAAAACCCTGAACCCCCCGTTCCCTAGACCCCAATAAATCTCTGAATACTAGTCCCTCATCAAAAACGCACCCCCCAACCCAAACCGTTGTAGAACCCCTGAGCAGCTTTCAAGAAATCTTCTACAACCCTCATGGTACGCTGACCCTGAACCCTTACCCAAAGGGTCTAAGTATTCCCTCTTATAGGACTTTAGGGCCTTTTTAGGTATCAAAAACCATAAATAAGGACTACTTGGACCCTTAGGGTTAAAGGAACCCTTTACGGGAACTCCTCCAGATCGCTTCGGCACGGTGCCGAGGAACGATTTGCAACGAAGGGGCGACACCAAGGATTTCCTTTCGGTCTAGGGGTTATAGGGTTTAGGGTAAAGTTTAGGTTCAGAGGTCTATGGGTTCAGGGTTTAGAGGTTTAGGGGTTTAGGGTTTAGAGGTTTAGGGGTTTAGGGTTTAGAGGTTAAGGGGTTTAGGGTTTAGGGGTTTATGGCTTGGGGTTGAGGGGTTTATGGTTTGGGGTTGAGGGTTTAGGGTCTATGGTTCAGGGTTGGGGGTTTTAGGGCTGGGGCTTTACGGGCTTCGGCAATTAGGGCCTAGGGCTTCCGGCGAAGAGCCCGGAGCGCAGGGCTTTAGGAGTTTGAGTTCTTATGGAGTTTAGGCTGTAGGGTTGAGGGTGTGCTGTTCGGGGAGCTAGGGCCTCAGGACCAGCATCATAGTTCTAATACACGGGGCCTGTTACTAATTGGAACATGGTCTTGGGGCATATAAAGCCGTAGGCATAATTTCGAACCCTCAAGAAGAGCCGAGCAGCTCCAAATCGTAAACCCACACATTATCGAACAGGATGGCCTTAATCCAATGTGGCCGGGACGTCGACAAGAAATTCCTAAGCACCTTATCCCGAATCGAAATCTCCGAAAGAAGTGGGCAGCCCTACAGCAAAAGTAGGACTTTCAATCCGGGCGCCCAAACCCACAACACCCAACAGCAAGCCCGAGCCTGAAATCCCCTACCTTACACCATAAACCGCAAACCCCAAACCCTTGGAGACTCAATGCAACCCTGACATTAGTAGGAGCCTTGTAGAACACTGGCAAACCCTATGAAACTTTGCAAATTCTTACCAAAACCCTGCGAAGCCCTATCCTCAGGCCTCTGGAAGGCGCATCTTCACCACTTCCGCAATGCGCGTGATCCTCAAACACCCAACCAGGTTTAAGGTTTAGGGTTGAGCGTGTTTTGAGCTCCTTTTCTCCAAGCCCGAAGGTCCGAAGAGGCTAGGGTTTCGGGTTTAGGGTCCAGGGTTCGGGCTCAACTTATTCGTGCAACAGTGGTTGAGTCGCCAACTACTTCCGCTAAGCTTCTACCGCTGCGGCTCGTGAGGAGTGGGGCCCCAATGCTTTGATGCTAGATCTTCAAGCATGAAGTCATAAGATCACTTCCTTGGGTCGCCCTTTGGACCTGCCTGTAAAAGAGCCTTGCGGCTTCAGGGCGCAAAACTTTCTTGGCAGGGCCAACGAACCATCCTCCAAATGGCAATGCCGCAGTGGCTGAAGTCGTGATGCGATTCAAACTTTAAAACCCCAACCTTATGTAGGGCCTTCTTAATCAAAAGAGGGAATGAGGGGTTAGGGTTTAGTTTTTTTGGGGGGGACATAGCATGGTAATGTTATATAACCGAACTCTAAGGAACAGCATTCACTCGTTACTCGGGCTTCAAGAACATAATATTTACATACACTAACTACTCATCATGCTTCTATCTTAGACAGCCAGGCAGGAGGCGTCTGCCGAGGGTTCACATCTGAGATGGGTCGGAGAATAGGCCTCGGCTCGATCGTACTCCTCGCTTCATGGGTTTAGGTGTTTGTACTACTTGGGTTGTAGGACATGGGGGATCCTAGAGTTGTGGGGTAAAACTGTCTTTATGGGTTTAGGTGTTCGTGTTGTGAGTAGGACTCTGGGGAGTTTAGAGTTTTGTTTAGACTGTTGAGGCTCGTTCTCTAACATCCTAAGGACCCTTAGGGGGGTAGGGGGAGGGGGGTGGGGGACTATACTTCCTTAAATTATTGAGTCCTTGTTATAGGTATTAAGGCCGCTGCCCCCCTCCCTGCTGACCCCCTAAGGGTCTCTATGATAACAACACCTGCCAGTATTCTTGCTAGTGCTACTGGATGCCAGTGGCTCGTAGTATGATGTGCTGCCATCGGAAGCCTCTGAGGTAATGTAGGGGCCTTACTAACTAGAGTACGTAGGGTTTGGGTGGCCCATTATACTACACTTGTAATCAAAGAATAGTATTGGTAATTATATATCTAGGCCCCTATATTACCCTGATTCCAGGACACCCTACGCTCCTGAATCTTAATGGAGTTTGTACAGGAGTACTTGTGGCAGGTAGCTGTAGTTTGTCTGTGGATCCAGAGATTTAAGGTTCAATGACAAGGCATGGTTCTGGGAGATCTTGTGTTCAGGATATAGCGTTTGAACGTTTAGGGTCGCATGATAAGAGTTCTACCATAGGCTTCGAGGCTTTCGAAGCTTTTCACCCTAATTCACCCGAAACCCAAAGCTCCGTCAACTCGGTATTTGAGAAGGCTGATTCCGGGACCGCAGCTGCTCGTATATGCTCGGGATACCATGAGGGTTTTGCGTGCAGACAACCTGCCACTGAGATGCCCTTGAAAGCCACTTATATGAATGTCTTCGAATGCCGCTTACATGCTTTCAGGTGTCACTTAAATGCCCTCGAATGTCAGCAAACTTCACAATTAGACTAGGGTTTTGGGGCCCATTATAATAAGGAACCCCCGAAATAGTATAGGTAGTTATCAAGACCCCTATAGTAGCTCTTGTCAGCCTGGATTTTTCAATGCGTGTGTCATGTCCAGAGGTCCATGCGACTCTAACTAGGTTCCTGAGTAGCCCCTTTATAATCAAGGTACCCTTGTTCCTACTTTTCCGTTTTGAGAAGGGAACCCTAACTAAAAGGGCAAAAGGGCCCTACTCAGACACCTAGTCAAAACAAAGACTTGACATATGCGTGGGATGGATAGTTCCAGGCCACTTATAAAGAACGGAGGCTGGTTTAAGATACATGCCGAGTCGAGAGCGTTAGAAAGCAGGCTTTAAGATTAAAGCCCTCTTTGCTGCTCTTGTTGTGGTTATTGGAAGTGGTACTTTTGATGATAAAAACCGGCATTACCTTAAGGACCCTAAACTATGGGAATTATGATATATTCATCATTATGGGTAATGCAGGATGTATATCATCAACAGCAGTGCTGGTGCTGGTGATCGGTCCTGCAGTTGTTTTCGTTGTTGATGTGATCACACTCGTCCTGCGGCCGCATGTGCGCATGCTGGTAGTGGTGCTGGCGCTGGTGCTGTTTTTGTTGCTGCTGTTGCTGCTGAGCGTGAGTGGTTGTTGTTGATGGTGTTGGGTCCTGAAGTCATGTAAATACCTTTTTAAGACCACGCAAAACCCTAGATCACCCTGTGAAAGAGTCTTTGATGTTCCTGTTCAC